CACCTCTTCCTTCCCAATTGCCCTCTCTAGCCACTCAACTCAGTCTTTCAACTTCTTAAAAGTGTATCACTACGAACTTTGGTTGTATCTCATCTATAAGTAAGCTCTGATAGAAGACTGACTATACTACAAGCTTAAAAACAGATTAGTCACAAGATTAATTCTACTGAAGCCGGGTGTGGAAATCTCACCTTGTAAAGTATCCATAGCAGTGGCTGCATGGGATGGACTCATAAAATCAACAAAGCAAAGAACAAATGGATGCCCTCCTGGCTACACAAGTTGATGGAACAGAGAATTCCTGAGAAAACATCATAACAGAACTACGACAAGAAAGAAATCTACAGGTGTGTTCTTACATGTCGTGATTCTTTGATCACCAGTCTAACTTCTTTGAAACCTACGAATGGTCGAAATATATCTGCAAACTAGAGTCAAAGAAAGAACTAGAATGGTAACTAAAATAGTGAAATGGGAGAAGCAGTATAGAAGGATACGTGACACCTCTCTTCGGGTGCAATGAGCAGGCAACCCCTCCACAAACAATGTACTGCTAGCCTCAGGTGGAAGAGGAACTTCTGGTCTAACACCTCCAAACCCAATGGTCCTGCTTCTAGCAGCAACCGGCTCTGATCCCACAGTACCCATAACACGTGGACCGTCAATAGAATGACTGCCTACTCCATTACTCATGGAATTTGCAGAGTCACCACCAGCATACGATGAAGTTTGCTGATAAATTTTAAACAATATGTTAGACTAATACATCATCAAGGAACTGAGCATAAAAGGGCATGAAAATTAACCACGCACAAACGAACCAAAGATTAAGTACCCCGCTTCGTAAGTATTGTTCATAGGATGTTTCAATAGGATCTGTTTCTCTAATGGCATGATGCATTCCTTGTACATCATTGTGGCTATGACTGCCAAGCATCTCAGGACCACTTGGAACATCTATGAGGTGACAACATAAAATGATGGTATTACTTAACAATAAAGAAGAATTAGCAATACTCCAATAAGCACACTCATAGATAAACAAGCTTATAGGTACACATGTACAAACAATCAAGAAAAAGGTAACCTAAACTAGGCAACATGATGTTCAAACATTTGCCAGAATCAACAGGAGAGAACAGAATGAAAACCAAGACAACCACTTGGAGGAGATTCGTCCACTTCCCTCTTAATAATTCAGAAAAAAATGTCCAAGGCCTAATCAACTGCTGAGATCACACGATCTTAGTAGCTCAATTGATTGACTACCTTAACTTCCATTCCCCTGGTAAGTGCTCGATTTCCCACCATGTAATCCCCTCCCCATTTCCCCTTCTCCTTCCCCAACCCCCATTTTTTTAGTGCTGAGATTAATCACATTGCGTATAGATAACCATTTCTATCTGAGGAAACAAAAATTCCCGGCAACCAAGGTAAAGTTTCAGTTGATCATCAAATTTAGGCCAACCGATACAAAAAAATCACATCTTTAACTTGTTCATCTTACTTCTATGAATGAAGTCCTTAAAAAAACATTTCTTTTCAATTGCTAGCACAATAAATACTTTTCTTTCCGACTGGACTAAAAGAAAAGGGAAACTTAACTTGAGCATTGGGATAAAATCATCACACCAATTAACCCTTTTTTTCTACTCACTTTAATCTTACTAATCACCTACTACTTTAATTTTGTAACACCAAATTAATTTATGAACATAACCATTTTTAAAAAAAACCCTAGCTTTTGCCAATTCAGGGAAAGAGCAACGATGTGACCCAAATTAGCAAAAATTAATCAGTTGAAAGAGCGAAGGGAAGTAGATGAAAGGTACCATTTTCGGTCCTCGGGCGTTTTGAGGGTACCGGAGGAAGAGATACGGGATGTATCCGGCCGTCGGTGACTCTCCAGTAAGCATCTGCCATTTTGATGGAGAGTAAAAAAGGAATTAACGACCCAAAACAGCTCGATTTGCTGCTCTAAGATCGGAGTTATACCCCGATTATACAGTAGCTATAAATTCGTCAGCGATCTTTATCTCTGTTTTTTTTTCCCTTCTAATGTAGTTATGAGGAAACAAAAGTTCATTTCTCTTTTTAACATATCTTTTTTATTATTATTTTTTTTGTAGTAATTTTTGAAAGTAATTTTAGGAAGTCATGGAACCAGCAAGATAGGGGGCAGTTTTTAGGCTATATGGGACAGGCAGATTTTAAAATTATGTGTGTTGAAATGAATTTTTTATAAAATTAATGCAGTGTGGGGTGGGTTGCGGATACGAATGTTCATGGTTATAGTTAAAAGATCAAATTGAATTATAATCCGAATTTAACTGATTAAGAAAATTAATATTTAATTTGATTTGATTAAGTTTGGTTTTAAATTTTTTAAATTGACATAATTTGATTTAATTTTAATTTTACTAAAAGATAGCATAAATAATAACTAAATCGAACTTATAAATTAGATATATATATTTTATAATTATTTATAAATTAATCATAAATAAAATATAAATATTTTGTTAAATTTTAACTAACTTAAATCTTTAGTATTACAATTTTCTCAAACCCAACACTTTACTCCAACTATAACAATCCTAAGTTCAGCAAAATCCATTTTAATCTTTAGCTATGTTACTTCACATAAAATAGTCATTTTTCTCTTAACTAAATTAATTTTTTTTGTAATGATAACTCTAGTATTGCTTAATTAAACCAACAATTGTTTTCATGTGGATCATTCATATACTAGGTGCTTGTGTTTATCGAGATACATATTTCCTCAAAAAAAATTATTATTTTTAAATCGAATAAACTAGAAAACTAAACGAAACAGACAATTATTATTTTCTTTTGGTTTCAAAAATTTAAAAATTTGACTAAATTAATATTAATTTATTTTTACTATCAAACCTAACTAAAAAGAGAAATAATTAAAAATTCATGTTGGACAGATTCATGTGAGGCGGGTATATGTGGGTAGGGTGGGAGTTTTGGGAACCTAAATAAGCCACAAAAAATAAAAGTGACCAAAGTAAGTTACTATTTTAGAAAGTAATTAAAATAGGCTTAGTGAAAGAGAAAATTTTACTTTATCCAATATTTCAAACGTTTCCAGTTTATCCATAGCAAGTATATTTTAATATATAATGAAACTATTTTTTACACTTTATAAAGTCGATCTTTTTCTTACACTTTATAAATTGGAAGAAAAATTTACATTTTACAAAGAGGAAATTTTTCAAGTTTGCTCTCCTTACGATGCTTTTGTAATGTTTGTCATACAATTATATTGATTTGACATATCATAAAAATATCATCTAAGCTCTATATAAGGACATTCAAATATAGCACATTCAACATCTTTAGTCTTCTATTATTCTTCATTTCAATCACAAAATAATGTCTTCTTAACCAAAAATTAGAGTTTCAATTTATTGGGATGAAAAAATTATACATGATGAAAATACCGTTTATTATAATCGACCTCTCAAACACAATACTACATATTTAAAATTAATATCCGATATCATATATTTCTTTCACCAATTTATAAAAGAATGGGGTATAAATAGTATTATTATGATTATAGTAGGAAAATACCTACTTCATGTTTATCACAAAGACAAGTAAATTTTAGAGAGTGAATTATCTATAATGAAGAATCGTTGACCGACTTTCTAAGGATTTCAGATGATTACATAGATCAAATCAAGTTAACAATACTTGAAATCTATGTTAGAAAGAAGCCTAAGACTAGCCAACAATGTTCTCCTTTATTGGTCGATGTTCATCCCCAATTAGAAAATCATAATAGCGTTGATGGATCCCTGATAACTCAATCTATTGATTTTTCTAACATGACTCATTAACGAAATATTCTTACCGTTCGATATGATTTTGATTTGAATGAAACTATCAATGGAAGTGACTGGTAATGCTCAATAACTATATTTCGATTATTATTTGATCATTTTATCAATTATTTATTAATTATATGATTTATTATTATTATTATTATATATTTTGCAGCGGCTTATTTAACAAGATAGGAATATTATTCCAAGTTATTGACTAGATAATCATTTTGATCAGTCATCATAGTTTGAAATGACGAAAAATATTGGGACATTCTCAAATTTTCATGTCTCTCCCATTTTTTATGCAAATAATTATCAGTATGTCCAACACTTGATTTCTTATTTAAGTAAGTTAATTGCAAGTAATAAATATTTGTTTTTTTTCATATATAGAGAAAATATCTTAATTGTATGATAAATGCGACAAATTTTTTATAAAGAGAGCAAAACAAAATATTCCTTGTTGTAAAGTGTAAATTTTTCTTCCACTTTATAAAGTGTAAGAAAAAGTTTCATTTTACAAAATATAAAAAAATTCATTATATGTTAAAATACTAACGTTATGAGACTAATAAAAAACGTTTGAAATATTAAATAAAATAAAAGAAATTCACTAAACTTAGTTTAATTACTTTTACACGACTTTTTTTTTTTGTTTTGAATTACTTAGTTTCCCAACTCGTAGGGTGGAGCACGTTAAAATTTTTAAAAGTTAACACGTGGAGCAGAGTGAGGCGGTTAAAATTTTCATAGGTGAAGTTCAATCCGATCCGCTCCATCCTACCCCACCCATTTGCTATTCTAATCAACTTGTTTAGCGTTTAAATTAAATTATATTAATTGGATAAGTTAAATTTTTTTAATTCATATCCTTTTCGTTGAATTTTATTTGATATTTTTTAAATTTTGAATTAAGCTAGTCTATTTTTTATAAATATTTTAAATTATTAATTTTTTATATAATTTATAAATATATGTATATATATTTTATTAAATCTAAACTATTTGATTTTCAGAAGATGAAAAATATCATATAAATTGAAACAAAGAGACGAAAAGAATAGTTTAACAATAAGCGAAAGTCTCCCTTGGGGTCTACCTCGTCCACAATAAGACACAAGAGTCTCTATCTAGATATTATTTTCCACCCCTATTTTATCCTCCATCATTGTCAAAATAGCAATTGCTAAGAAAATTCAATCTTCCTTGCAGAGTTAGTAATACTAATACTATTGCAACTTAATCCCTTCTCTTTCTTTCCTTTGTTTTTGTATATACACACTATTATCAATTAATTAATTAATGGCGGAAACTGCTACGTATAATCACCCTTTGTTTAGCTGCAGAATTTGCCAGAATCCCATCGCTCTTCGAGATGATCTTCTCTCTAAACGCTTTCTGGTAATTACTCTTATTTTTTCACTACTTTTTTATTTCAAGGAGAGATTGTTTTCGATTTAAGAAAAAGATCAAATCATTTTTCAAAAATTGCATCTAAGTTCAATTGATCCATACAACAACAACATATATCCGTCCAATTTCACAAGTGAGATCGGATCAGATCTTACTGATCTGTAAAAATAGACTGTTTCCGATTTACTTTTTTCTTTTAAAAAAGTTCAAATCGTCTTTGTAAAATTGTATTTAACTTAAATTGATTATTGATTAGGCGAAATCAGGAAGAGCGTATCTTTTTGGGCATGCTATGAATGTGGTGGTGGGTAAAAAGGAAGATAGAAAACTGATGACAGGTACCTTCAGTGTTGCTGATATATTCTGCAGCAAGTGTGGGCAGGAATTGGGTTGGAAGTATGTTAAAGCTTATGATCCCTCACAGAAGTACAAAGAAGGCGGATTCATAATCGAGATTGCCAAAATTCTCAAAGAATATTAGTAATAAGATTTCAACACTTATTTATGTAAACAACTAATGCTTGATCGACTGTAAATTAATAAGATTTCTGGTCATGCAAAAACACTACTTTTAGTCCTTTGTATGTTGTTATCTATCATGCTGTTGATGTGCAAGAAACAGGGTAAGCTTCTTTGGCAATTATGATGATTTTCACTTGTTAATGGATCTGGTATAGTCATCGAAATGCATATATACAATGTGTGGCCTAGTCAAGTATCTTTGCCCGATGTTTTATATTTTCGATCGTTCTCAATTCGCCGTGTTTTAAAAATATTTCTAACTTTTTCATATCTAAAATTTTGAATTTATTTAGCTGAAAATGATGGTGTCTTTCGTTTTGAGTCAACTAATATTGGTGGGGATCGGATATGGTTCAATACGATTGGTTTACCCATTATTTACCGGTAGACCCATAAAATTCTGTAGCTTAGCGGACGAAGTGTACAAATATAAACAGATAAAGAAATATGTACTAGTTAATTAGTTGTTCTGTTTCTAATTATTTGTTTATTTTTTTCTTTTTAATTATTTCGATTATTTTGAAAAAGATTAAAACTTTTTGAAAAATTTAAATTTTTTAATTCATTCACTTCATAATTAATTCAATTCAAAAGTGGACAAGTAATTAGAGATATGTGGAGAATATTATAGCTATAGTTTTCATTTAGCTATAATTATTGCACCTCTCTTTCTGTCTCGCCTCTTTCCACTCTTATATATATATAAGTACAAATTATACATATACAATACAAATTGATATAATTGTACAAACTTTAATTATTGATATAAATTGTATTTCATTAATACTATTGTATTCATCAATACATATACATACTAATTATATACATACAATTATGCATATATACAAATACAATCATTGATACATATGTATACTATTTGCATATATACAATTATCTAACAGATATATATCTCTTGCTCGTCTCTCATCTCCCTCTCTTAGTCTCATTTGCCTCTCCGCTCTCCGTCCTTTGCACCTCGCTTCTTTCCTCCCTCTCCCAAGCTCGCTCACTCTTTCTACTCTCCGCCTTTCTTGCTTGCTGTCTACTCCTCCTCCCGATCTCGCTGCCCCCTCCCCTTCATACACACAATATCACTCGTTTTATACACAAATACAATCATTAGTACATATGTATACTAATTACATTTGTACAATTTTTTGACATATATATACTAGATGGGGGAGGCCCGTGGCAAGCACGGGCCCAATAGTCAAAATATCAGTATTAATTTGTTGCAGAAGATGGATAATGTGATATGTTGTATATTATTAGAGATATTCAAAATATATGTACAATTGATATTGGACATCAAGATGATCTATATTAACTAAGGTAATAAAATCAAAATATTTTTTTGACATATGAGATTGTGATTTTAGAGGATGTTGTTGTTCATTTTTAGTTGTTGATCTTCTTCATCATTCCCAAAACCATAGCATATGGAGTTGTTAGGGGTTCCTGAGAAAATTGTTAGTCTTAGTAACTTTAGAAAGTTTGAGTTGTTAATGATAAAAGTGAAATCGTTCGAAAAGTAACAACTCAACTTTTAGCATTGAGGTTGCTTAATGTTATGACTTTCTTGTTTGTACAAACATTTTTAGCAAGCCTCTCACACTATATGAAATCAAGAGGTTCTAAATTTGTTTTGTATGGATGCAGTGGAGGAGGACAAAAAGTAGTGATCCTTTGATTAAACCAAAACTGAAAGCACTGTAAATGAATGAAAGACACCTCAATATTTCGTTCTTGTTTTCGCCAACAGCATGGATAAACATTGACTTCCAGATGATTCTACTCTTAAATTTTAATAAATTTCAAATACTTGTAAATGTTTTGAACTGTTAATCATTGTGATTTATAGTTTGATTTTCAATAATGAATGTGATAATCAGATGTAGACTGACCTTTTACAGTTTTTTTGTTGGTGCGGGTGGTTCAAATTTCAGAGTTGCATTTGAAGAACCAGCTGCAGTAGTTGTTTCTGTCACCTCCATCTCACTTATCTCCAAAGGTCTTATCTTTTTGGAATTCCTATCAATAGTGGTGGGCGGAGTATGTTGCTTTTCCATGTAGGAAATAATGGAGTAAGTTGCTTGTGTGTTGTTTGAGGTATCCCAAGATGACTTCCTTAGCTGAATTTGTTTGCCTCTCAACATACAATCAAGCAGTTACCTTCAAATTATAACTCATCTAGATCTGTTCCCCTTAAATTGCAAACGTAGATGATTCAATTTCTTTCATGTTCGCAACTGAGTAAGAAAAATGGAGCAACAACAAGAACCTAACCAATGAAATCCCACGAATGGGGCTTGGAAAAGGTAGAGTGTACTCAGAATTCACTCATACCTCGTCGAGGTAGAGAGGCTTCAAGTACTTATGAAAAGAAAAAACTAAAAGCAAGACAACACTTAACTATCTACCAATCTTCTACACGGATTAATAAGTTGAACCAAGTATAACAAAAAAGTTAACAACTTTGTGTCCCAAGTCAAACAAATTACCAGAAAATCACGAAAGGCAGCCTGAATTCGAAGAGCAGCCCATTCTTGTTTCACAACCACAAAATCCTTGTGTGGAGCTCTGATGACAGTAGCCATAGCAGCAGCCAAAGCACTATCAGACAGGAATGAAGATTCAGATCCATCCGAATCTCCCAAATACATCTATATCGCATAAGCTTGTATTCTGTTTGTATTTCAAATCCCGTGATATTGTGTTAACAGATTTAGTTAGATTTAACAAGAAATCTCTTATTCCTAGTTAACCAAATAGTTTACATAATAAGTAAATGAATAATTTTCAAATTTGTTTCAAGCTTTTGCTTACTCTCTAATGTGCTAACAGATGTAGTCATATTTAATAAGACATCTCTAATTCCTAGACATATAGCCTCAAATTACTAAATTAGTAGCTGATTTTTTCCCCGAAAAGTTGGTACAACAAAAAAATGAACAATGAAAGCTTACCCTGAGTTTTTAGCCTTCGATATAATTGCTAATTTCATGGCAGCACCAAAAAATTCGATAACTCAAATTCTTGCTCAATGAATCACCCGAGAGTTGTAAAATTTATCAATTTTATTAGAAAACTACTAAATGGAAAATAATATCAAGAGGATAAACATCTACTCACCCTTAGTAGATAGTTCAACTTCATTAACATCTGTTAAGACAACCCAGCTGTTGAAACTGATCAATTTTCATAACAAATAAGTATTGCCTTCATTGGGGAATTTCGTCAAACACGTGACCACAACCATTATCTGCAAAAATACTATATTGGCCAAAAAAGTTAGTATTTAAGAACTTGATAGTTGATACTACAAGATAATGAGAAAAAAATCATGCATGAGCAGAATAATCAATTAACAGAACATTTGCATATCCATAAAGTGAGGGATTCAATCTTTAACTCTGCCCTCCACTCTAATCTCTCTAGAGTAAGAACAACACTGGCAAACTTGGACTAAACTCGATTGTTTTGTCCCCAAAAATAAGCCAAACTTCATCTGCACGTTCAACTATTTCCTCTTCTTCACCTTTTGAGTTTTAACCCCAAAATAAATAGAAACACCATAACTATGTGCATCAAAACTATTGAAAAAGTGAAAATTTTGGATGCACTATGTTCATCAAGGGTCCAAAGTCATCTATGTATTTATTTCTATTTTCGAACATGCATGAGTAAATTAGATACAATTGATGATACATACAGTAAAAATCCAGAGAAGAATGAATATATAAGTGTAGAAAAATCATAAGAAAAAAACTCATCGTAATACAACAGGTACGAAGAGGAATTGAGGGTGAAACAGAGATTAAAGACGATATCAGAATTTGACAAACAGCAGAGCAAGCGTGAGAATAGATGTGGAGAACATTCTACATTGTTGAAAGAAGGAAGAAGAAGAAAGTGGGAGAGAAGGGAGAGTAAAGCAAAAGCGTGAGAATAGTGCTACACGTGCTTCTGCATAAAGCAGTACACGTTATGCACTTTTGAAAGAAAAATAGATGATTTTACTATTTTAACCCTACTTTTACAACTCAATTTGATGTACAATTTACAATTCTTTTTGTACCACATTTTAATGCAGTGTTCGTCCTTGTAAACTGTCCTTTCTAAATATATATATAATATAATAACTCCTGCATATGTGGTTGAGCTTGAAATTTTATATCTTGAATAATTATAAAAAAAATATTTTTAATCTCAAGAATAGTGTCTGAATTTAGTTTATCAATAAACAAATAAATTGTTCTCCAATTTCAACATTTCAAACACCCAAATCTACTCCACATAAGCTTAAAATTATACAATCAGAAAACGAAAATCGAAAAACACCCTTATTCAAGGCAAGCTTTTTACTAAGGTCAAGATTAAAATTAAAATTAAAATTTATTTTAATTTGTATTACAAAACTAAACACATATGTTGTTTGTCGTGCGATTACATCGGATGAGTTGTTATGCTGCTCACTGTTGGGCTTTACCGTGGTCAATGTCCATCAATTCCATAATATATATTTGGCCCAAAATCCAATGGGCGACAGAGCGGCCATGAAATCGACTGCTGTACACAACAGGTAAGCTCTCATCTTCCAACAAAATCAACTCAACCAAAGAATAACTACGTAGTAATTGTTTCATCTTTATCCCTTCCTGATATTCATGCTGGTAGCTGAGTCCAAGCAAAGAATAACAAACCTTTTACTTTTTCCCCATTTTCTGCTTTTCCTAACAAACATAATTTTGTTGTGAATTTGTTTCAGATTCTTGTAATATTCTATTGTTTTAATTACCAGCAGTCTTTATTTGATAAATATTTTTATATTGAATTGTTTTTTTTTTTTTTTTTGCAATCCTGTCTTTGTCATATCACCTTAAATTTCTTCTCAGTTTCGTGATTGGTAGTTTCACCAAATCCCTCATAAGAATTTTTATCGATGCCGTGCAAGTTAAACCTATCTGGGTTGTAAGCATTTTCTCTTTTAAGGTAAATAAATTTGTTTTTTTAGGTCAATTGGCTTATTGCTTCAACAGGGTAAAGGGTTTAGTTTTATTGATTTTTCAGGTTTGAATCTTTTGTTTTCTGTAGGATTTGGTTATTTGGGTTTCTGGGGTAAGTGATCAGTGAGGAATTTGTCATTAGTTTTGTTGTCGAATGGATGAATTAGTTGGACCTCGCTTGTACAGCTGCTATAAATGTCGAAACAATGTCTCTCTTCACGATGATATAATCTCTAAGGCGTTTCAGGTGATTGTTTTATATCTATGCCTCATTACTTTCTGTTGTGTTGAGTATATTTATGATTCTTGAAACTTCATTCATGTATGGTGGTTTAGGTCATAGTATTGCTGTCACTAGAACTACAAAAGCATATTCATTATGCTTGCTATCGTTTGTATACGGAATTAGTTGGGGTCAATTTATCGTTTCCTTTCATTTGTATGTGATCAGTGCTTTCAGATGAAAATTAGTAACCAAATCCCTCTATTGTATTGAGCTCAAAGTAAAGGATGTGCTTTAACTAGTAGTCAAGGAAAACCAAATGAGAAATGAAGAAAAATAAGGGGGAATAAAAACTCACTCTTATTGATGCTTTTTACAACTTTTCGACTTATTCCCTCACGGGGATGTAATGATTGTTATTTTTAAGTCCAAGAATTCAAAGTATCAACATTGAGCTGACAATGGGCAATTTTCTGTTTTGCACTTCAAGAATCAAATGATTCTTAACTAGTTAGTTTTTATTTTTGGTCATCTTGTTTCTGAGCCTCGTCCAAAGAAAAGAAATACTATTGCTTTTCAGGGAAGGCATGGCAGAGCTTTTCTGTTTACTCATGTGATGAATATTGTCGTTGGGGCTAAAGAAGACAGAACTCTCATGACTGGTCTTCATACTGTTGCTGATGTACTCTGTGGGGATTGCAATGAGGTTTTGGGCTGGAAATATGAACGAGCTTATGAGCCAACTCAGAAGTACAAGGAAGGGAAATTCATACTCGAGAAATCTAAAATCGTTAAAGAGAATTGGTAGTCCACCACCAATTTCATTATGATTCTTTATCTTAATACTCAATGTAAGTAATGTTTATCCTATCTATAATATCACTCACACTGTACAGAACATGCTGAACTGAAAAATTACAAATGTTCAATTGAAGTTTTGTACTTTCTGTTGTTTCATATTACTCATTGGTATGCAACTCTGTTAATAAACAAATGCTATACTATTGCTTGAGGTTTTATTATTCACAATTATCTTCAAACAGTAGATAGTTTCCTGAAGAGCCTGTGATACTCTGTAGTATAGTTCTGCGATAAATCAGAGCCGATTGTAGACAATCCCTCTAAATGGCAGGTTAAGATGCCAATGTTAAACCAATAATTCAGGATTTTGTGTATGTCTACATCAGCCAGTTCTGGTGTCACAAAAAGCAATGGTTAAAATGGCAGAAGGCTAGCTGTGACTATTGAAATTGTCTATTATAAGAGCTTGTAGAAGCTCTTGTTCCCCATAGTAAAGGTCTAATAAAACTTCATTTTTTGGAGGAATGAACAGTGTAATAGGCAACCACCTGTACAAGTTTGGTAATTTTAGGCTTTAAATAGGACAGATATTGCTCTATCTTCTCTTGGGTCTTGGGGACTTATTCTCCTTGAATTGCACCAATCACCACAAATTGACTCCTGTTTAAATAATGCCAAGGGCATTAAACTTATTGGCAGTGGATTGTGAAATCACTGTTTCTTAAGTTGGTAGATCCAAGATAGACTAGAATAATATTGGTGAACAATGATATGACGAACTTGTCACTCCTTCGAAAGAAAAGATGTCCTAAATCATATAGCTGTGGGTCGACGAACATTGAACAACAGAAAAAGGTTGCCTCGCTTTAGCACGTTTTGAATATCTGTTTAACTGATCATTAGGTTCAGTTCTTGCTGCTTCTAGGAACAGAAAGAATACCAGTGATTCTTGAAAATGATAGAGATGCCAAGGGAAAACTATATTAGAAAGTAATGACAGTAGAAATTCAAAATTCCAAATAATAGATCCTATTTCAGTTTCAACAGTGACTAGATCAAGAAGCAGATAGTCTAGTTAGAATTAATCTAGTGAGACTTACTACGGCACAAAAGAATTTCTCTCGTAAAAAACTGGCTTGAATTACAAAGTAGAGGTAGAAGAGTAAGAAGATGGGTTTTCCGGTGGTGCAGCAGCATTAGGTCTCCTGTGTACCATTGGAATGTTTTGTTAAGGAAGAGGGTGATTGTGTTGGCCTCTGTAAGTTACAATCACCTTTGTTGGGTCTTTTGAGCTTTTCTCAACGTGTCTCTTTGCTGGATAATTTTTAACTTCAGTACACGAATAGTAGCTTTTTCCAGTTGGATTCGTCCTTCTCTTTCTCCATCTCCCATGATCCACCTTACTCAATTCCTCAGCCAATATTTCATGTCTTTCCTGTATCTTTCCGCGGTAAATAAACAAGTTGCCTGACTCAGTAGTTGAACTTTGCATCGAGTATCTCGCCTTCTTCTTCTCCTCCTCATGTTCTACAATCACCAGTGGGGTGTTTGGAATAGTTTCAGTTCGGTTTTCAATTCTTGAATTGGTATTCAGGTTATTGGCAAGACTGATAACTTCATCTAACCCAAAGTAACGCTTCTTTTCCACGGCGAATGCTTCTCTAAAATCACCAACACAATTTCTTTCTTTCTTCTTGAAAAAGACTTGTGTTAACAGAGTTGCCATCGCCATGAACACTGTGATCAACAAGAGCAGAGTTGTCATGCTCATGAACACCGTGATCGACGATAGCTCTAACAGAGTTGTTCATCTTGCTGCAACTTCTCACTATTGCCCCTAAATCCCAGTCATTCTCGTTTTCAGCCATTGACAACTTTGTTTTCAAGGGGAACGCTTCATTCACTAATGCAGGAAATTTCAAACCCAAACAGTTCGGTTATGGGCAGTTCACTTTTTTAACTACTTATAACGAAATTTCAAGAATTATAGAAACAGAAACTTAATCACATTGTATTTTGAGAAATAAAAATTTATGTACATATATTTGATCAAGTGGTTGGAGGCCACTGAGGGCCAATTCTCATGCACCCAATTAATACTCTGTGTATTTCTCTTACATTTTAATTGATATCAACTTTTCAGGATGTGTTTGACACGAAGAAAAATATTTTTAAATGACTTTCAACATTGAAGTAGGTAAAGTATATTTTACGTGAAATATTCCACATTTAAGTGTGTGTATTTTACGTTTTAATAGACCTCATTTTTACTCTAACTTCCGTTGAGCCTATCTTACATAGCATTTCGAGTATATACAATTATTTTTGGAAAAATATTCTTTGCTAACGTATTGAACACAATAAAATAAATAAAACATTTACTTATTTTTCGAGTAAAGAAGTTATGGAAAACATTTCTTCTCCCATTAAACACACCCTTAATCATGTCACTATGTTACTTTTAGGGACATGTTTGGCCATAGATATAGCTAAGAGTATTTGGAAAAACAGCTTTGGATTTATTTATTTATTTTTACATTGCATCTCTAATGTTATGAAATATATTAGATCTTAAAGTGTTATGTTTAGAGATTGTTACATATTATTTCATAATGTATGCTATTTAAGGAAAACATATTTAAATTATTTTAATCTAGTATCATTGGATTAATGTGTAGTCTTTGAATTGATGGAAATAGTATTTGTTTAGCTTACATAAGATATCACCAAGACTTTGTAGCAACGTAACATCGAAATCTCATGGCTTTATTTGTCATGCAGTCGTTTTTTTTTTCTCTTTTTTCTTCAAAAATCATTTTACTTCATCTAATTAAGCTTTTATAGTTGTTTAGGCAAATATTATATTTCTTTGGTAAGATTTAATAGCGTGATAAGTTTAATTTTAATACACTAATTAAGTTTTTGAACCAATTTGAAAAAAATAAATTATGTATTATAAGATGATAACTATTGAAACATATGTGTGGTCGAAGTGACAGTCAAAGGCATATATAAACATTAACTTTTTTTTTTAATTTTAACTTAGATCTTAAATTTTCAAAGCGCACAAAAAAGCATTTTAATCATTCAATTTTTAAATTAAAAAATCTAAAGTAGCTCCGCCCTTAGTTAGATACATACTTACTATGGCACAAAAGTATTTCAACTATCTTGAATTTCAAATAAGGGGGTACATTTGGTTTTTCAGTTTGATTTTATATTATTCGGTGTAAATTTCTTAATTTCTAGTTTGTTTTTTATAGTTTCTACAATTGCTATCCTTTTGAGTGCACACGTGATAAAATCTCCACTCTAAAAATGCAATAACTCGCAAACCACATACGATAGGTAATTCGCACTAGACATGCTCGGTGCGATAAGCTCGACCGAAGACAAATCCCTTGCTTTTGCTAGCAAGGGGTTTCGAACTTGAACCTCCAAAATGGAAGTTCCAAGTCCAAACCATTAGGCCATCTAAAGGGTTTTAGTTGTGAAGAAGTGTAACCTAATCCAAATAAATTTGATTTTTTCTTTTGCGGTTTGATTTGTTTCCGTTCGGTTATTTAGTTGTATAAATAAGTAGAAACATAATTAAAGTATATATATGTAAAAGTCATGATATTGAATCTTTTAAATATACTTTTGAATATAAAACACTAATAAAACATACAACACAATACTTAAAAGTATATTCAATTATAGATATCAAAACATTAAAAATAAACAAAATCATAATGAAAAATAATACAAAAATAGTTAACTTAGGCTTAATTTTAAATTTGGAAACCAATCCAAAATTAGAATTCGGTTCTGAATTACAAAGTAGAGGTAGAAGAGGGGTCTTCCTGTGAAGCCGCACCATTAGAATGTTGGTTAGAAGGAGGGTGATTGTGTTGGCGTCTGTAAGAGCTTCCTTGAATCTTTTGAGCTTTGTTTCAACATTTTTTTTTTAAAAACTTTTTCCAGTTGTTACTCCTAGTGTTCTTTCTCCATCTCCTCTGGCCTTCTTGTTCTTCTCCTCCTCCTCGTCGTGTTCTACAATCACGAGTGGTGTGTTTGGAATAGTTTCAGTTTGATTTTCAATTCTTGAATTGGTGATATTCATGTTATTGGCAAGACTGATAACTTCATCTAACCCAAAGTAACGCTTCTTTTCCACGGGGAATGCGTCTCTAAAATCACCAACACTATTGATTTCTTTTGGAAAAAGACTTGTGTCTGTTGTGTCGTTAACAGAGTTACCATCCTCATTAACAGTATTGTGATCGACAAGAACAGAGTTGACATGAGCAGGATCCTCATGAACGGTATGATCGACATGAGCAGAGTTGTTCATCTTGCTGCAACTTCTCACAACTGCCCGTATACCCCAGTCATCTTCGTTTCCAGCCATTGAAAACAACTTTTTTCAAGGGAAGGCTTGTTCAGTCGAAATTTCAGCTCGATCAAACAGTTAGTTGATTCAGAAACACCATCTAAAGGTGGCCGTAGAAGAAAAGGACAGGCAGCAAAATCTTCTCTCTTTTCTCACTCTATCAAAAAAAAAGAATCTCTCGTCCTTCAAAGACAATACTAATAAGCAATGGAATAATAATTTCTTATATTATCCTATATTTATAGGCTGGCTGGTGCTACAGACAAAAGTAACTTCAAATATGATTATTATTTCAGTCCTTTTCTTTATAGTATTTAAATAAAAAAATGAAAATAATTCCAATCCTTTTCTAATTAGAACAAAGGCTTAATTTTTTTCTTTTTCTTTTTTTTTTTAAAGTTTTTTTTACCTTTTAAGATACTATAGCCCTCAAAATTTACACTTCCATAAAAATTAACACTTCAAAATGATGACGTGTTTACCTTGGTTGTAAATAAGCAGGTGTTGATGAACATACTCTCGACTTGAGGGGTACTGGGACAAGGAGCTTGCTTGGATGCTTTAATTGCTCTAAGGCATAATACATAAATGTGTCATTTAACTTGGTTTTAAATTATATTTATGACTTTCAACTTTAGATGTGCACAAATAGACACTTAAACTTGTATAAAGTTGAACAAATAAATACACATGTCCTACATGTCATTTTTTGTCCTACGTCGTGTATTGTGTCATGTAGGACTCATGTGTTTATTTATTTAAAAGTTGAATAGTTTAAATGTCTGTTTGTATATTATGAAAATTGAAGGTCAAAATTAAAATTTGAAGCCAAGTTTAAAATCTAATATATGTATTATGCCTTGCTATAATGCTGGATTCATCTGCGAATTAGGCTGTAGATATCTTTTCTATTGATTTATTGTTGACAAAAGAGGAGCAAAAAACAAATGATCCAATCACTCAAATCTACATTAAGTACGGATAAATGAGGAGAAGTTCTATTTCGAATCTTTTAATTAAGGGAAAAAGGTCTGATATACCCCTCAACATTGTCATTTAGAGCTGATATACCCCTTGTTATGAAAGTGACTCATATATACCCCAACTTGTAAACAAATGGCTCACATATACCTTTTTCCTCTAACGGAAATGAAAAAAATAATAATTTTAATCTAAACTTTTATTTTTTTTTCTAAAAAATATAATTTAATCCTCGTCAAACATAATTTTTTTGACTTTTTTTTTGTTTCAATGACTAATTTATAATTATTATTTTGATAATCAAATTTATTTATGTTTCACTAATATTCTTGTAAAACTTATTGTAGATGACCAAATTTTTTCTTCGAATACGAAATTAAATTACAATACACACAAAAAAAATAAGTTTAATTTTTTATTCTTTAAACTAAGGAATGAAAGAGAAAAACAAAACAAGAATAAGAAATTCAAATAATTATAACAAAAGAAGTCAAAAAATAATTTATGTATGAAAAAAATTAAAATATATCTTGAACTTTGATAGAAGAATCATATATACCCTTAATCTTGATACAATGATGAAAACTTAATTCTCAAGTAATACATAATACAAATCATTAGAACAAAACAATATCAAATACACAATAAGCAAAGCCCATCATTTTGACAAGCATACATTAAATTTTGGAAGAAAAATGAAATTAAAATAGGATGTAAAAGTCATGGAAGTGATAGAGTTATTGAGCGTTTAGTAGTATGTTGGTGGGGGAGATGCTGGTGGTGGTGGAGGTGAAGCATAGATGACGGATTGCTCGTACTCCTGAGGTGGTGGTGGTGAGGAATAGGTTGGTGGAGGTGGAGAGTTATAGGTTGTAGGTGATTTTTCGTTGTACTTTGGTGGAGGTGGAGAAGATTTATAGAAAGGGTTAGATTCTTTGTAGTACGGGGGTGGGGGTGGGGATTTATAGGAAGGGGTAGATTCTTTGTAGTATGGGGGAGGGGGAGGGGACTTGTAGTAAGAAGGTGATTTCTCATAATAAGTTGGTGGTGGTGAAGGAGACTCGTAGTAAACTGACGACTTGTAATATTTTTTTGGTGCTGGTGATTTATAATATTTAGAAGGAGCGGGTGATTTGTAATATTTCGAAGGGGATGGGGACTTGTAGTAATAGTGTTTTGATGGAGCAGGTGACTTGTAGTACTTTGCAGGTAAAGGGGACTTGTAGTAGTACTTTGCAGGTGATGGTGACTTGTAGTAGTACTTTGAGGGAGTTGGCGCCTTATAATACTTCTTTGAAGGGGCAGGTGACTTGTAATACTTCACTACCACCGGTGCCTTGTAATAGTGTTTCGAAGGAGCAGGTGACTTGTAATACTTTGCTACAACAGGTGTCTTGTAGTAGTGCTTTGAAGGAGCAGGTGACTTGTAATACTTCGCAACAACAGGTGTCTTGTAGTAGTGTTTTGAAGGAGCATGTGACTTGTAATACTTTGCTACAACAGGTGCCTTGTAGTAGTGCTTTGAAGGAGCACGTGACTTGTAATAGTAATGCGATGGAGAATGTTCAACGTGTTTTTCCGGTTTCTTGTAATATGGAGAAGGTGAAGGAGAACTATAGCCATAAGAGTAATCAGCAACAACAGTGCTAGCTACAAAGCAAAGTGCCAAAGCAAATGCAAGTAGAGACCATTGCCCCAAATTTCCAAAGCTTCTCATTTTGATTTTTGGAGAAAAAAGATGAAAACTAAGACTTGTGTTGCATAGATTTGTTGGGATGTTTAGTTTTTATAGTAGCAAAGTAACATACTTCTTGAGATTAATAAATGTAATGCTTTCATGGTTAGCCACTAAGATGATATAGCAAAGTCTAAATAAATATTAGTTTAGTGTAATTAGTGGCAAGCATAAATATTTATGATTGAAAAAATAATTTGCAAGTGGGTTAAATTAGAAATAATATAAATGTTTACTTGAATATTATAACAACAAAAAAAAAAAAACGATATACAGAAATTAGATTACCACAACATACCCCGTGTAATCCCACGAATTCTTACTTAATCTTTACATCTTTAAAAGTATCTATATTAATTTAGTGGGAATTTACCAGCCATGAAGATAAATGATAATTGATGAGAGCGCGAGTATTTTATGATTCTTTAATGACAACGAACGGATTGTATCTTGAATTTGTTCTGAGTTTTGACTACAAATTAAATATAATCATCAATGTTTCAAGGAACAGATTTGAAGTCATATTCCAAACAATATTATTGGAGATCTCGTTGCACTCGATACGTTGAACTTATCTCATGATTAATCGCTTGGAAGGTTGTATACCAGCATAACTGCACCGGCCAGTTATTTGTACTTGAATCATTGGATTTCTCATTTAGCAAAATTGGTAGAGGGATGCAGAAACAACTTGCATATATCATGTCACTTTGAAGTATTAAATCTCTCTCATAATCATCTCGTTGGACTTAAGAATCTGTGAAGAACATGTCATTTATGGACTCCTGCACTGTCTTCCATCAGCAGGTCAATTGTCGTGGAAAATAAGCTCGAGCTGGCACACTATGTAAGGCACTGTGTTCAGATCAGTAGAGTGGCAGTGTAACCTTAATGCATTAGCAAAGTGACTGTCCTATCATAAGATATAAAGTTGTCATGCTTCTTTCAAAGTCTATACAGCAAGTAAAATAATACTCTTGAGTTGTGTGGTGGTCCTATTCCTGCAATCCAATTAAGTTGTCTATAATAAGGTATCACACAAAATGCATGTGTAATGTGTTATATATGTAAGTGTTGGGGACTTAAGAATGTGAACTATTGATAGTTTCTGGCATTCACTTGTGTGACACAATGAATGGCCATATGTTAAATTTGTGCTATATATATGTCAATAAAAATTGTTGAATAGACACACAAAGCAAACGTTTCTTGATTTCTTCTCTACCAACTTGATTAGTTTTGATCATTTTTAGTGCAGAAATGGGTTGTGTAAAACTAGTGTTTTTTATGCTATATACCTTTCTCTGTCAACTTGCTTTCTCGTCATCCTCACCTCATTTGTGCCCTGAAGATCAAGCTCTTGCTCTTCTACAATTCCAGAACATGTTCACCATTAATCGTAATGCTTCGATTATTGTTTCAGCATGATAACAGGCCGAGAGATTCAGTCATATCCAAGAACTCTTTTCTGGAAGAAGAGTACAGATTGTTGCTCGTGGGATGGAGTTCATTGTGAGAAGACAACAGGACAAGTGATTGAGCTTGATCTCCATTGCAGCCAACTTCAAGGCAACTTTCATTCCAATGGTAGCCTCTTTCAACTCTTCAATCTCAAAAGGCTTGATTTGTCTTTTAATGACTTCACTGGATCGCTCATTTCACCTAAATTTGGTGAGTTCTCTAGTTTGATGCATCTTGATTTGTCACGTTCAGGTTTTACAGGTCTAATCCCTTCCGAAATTTGTCACCTTTCTAAACTACACGTTCTTCGTATCGGTGATCAATATGGGCTTCGTCTTGTACCTCACAATTTTGAATTGCTCCTTAAGAACTTGACCCAATTAAGAGAGCTCAACCTTAACTCTGTGAACATCTCTTCCACCATTCCTTCAAATTTCTCTTCTCACTTAGCAATTTTAACACTTTCTAACACAGGGTTCCGTGGGTTATTGCCCGAAAGATTCTTCCACCTCACCGACTTAGAATCCCTTGATTTATCATTCAATCCCCAGCTCACTGTTAGGTTTCCCTCAACAAAAGTGCATCACTCATGAAGTTATACGTCCATTGTGTGAATATTGCTGATAGGATACCTGAATCATTTAGCCATCTAACTTCACTTCATGAGTTGAACATTGATTATTGTAATCTGTCAGGGCCTATTCCTAAACCTCTATGGAATCTCACCAACATAGTGTTTTTGGACCTTGGTAATAACCATCTTGAAGGACCAATTTCCTACTCCACGATATTTGAAAAACTCAACAAGTTATCACTTAGAAATAACAACTTGGATGGCGGACTTGAGTACTTATCCTCTAACAGAAGCTGGATGCAGCTTGAAATATTAGATTTTTCGTCCAATTACCTTACTGGTCCATTTCCATCCAACGTAAGTGGACTACGAAATCTACAATCACTCTACTTGTCATCAAACCACTTGAATTGGACTATACCTTCCTGGATATTCTCCCTTCCTTCACTGATAGTGTTTAACTTGAGTGATAACACTTTCAGTGGAAAAATTCAGGAGTTCAAGTCCAAAACATTATATATCGTTAGTCTAGAACAAAATAAGCTGGAAGGTCCTATTCCAAAGTCACTCCTAAACCAGCAGTTCCTAAGAGCTCTTCTCCTTTCGCGCAATAATATCAGTGGACATATTTCTTCAGCTATCTGCAATCTGAAAACATTAGTACTACTAAATTTGAGAAGCAATAATTTGGAGGGAACAATCCCACAATGTTTGGGAGAGATGAGTGAACTTGAAGTTTTCGATTTAAGCAACAATAGTCTTAGTGGGACAATTGATACAACTTTTAATATCGGAAACCAACTCATCATCATTAAATTGGATAGGAATAAGCTACAGGGGAAAGTTCCACAATTTTTGATCTATTGTAAAAAATTGGAACTTCTAGATTTAAGTTACAATGAGTTGAATGACACGTTTCCAAAATGGTTGGGAGACCTACCTCATTTGCAGATCTTAAGTTTGAGATCAAATAAGTTCTACGGCCCTATAAGGACAAACTACTTGTTTGCTCAAATTCGAGTCATAAATCTCTCATCCAATGGATTTTGTGGAGACTTACCAGTGAGCTTGTTTCAGAATTTTCTAGCCATGAAAAAAATTGGTGAGAACAGTGGAAACCGAGAGTATGTAGCAGATATATTTTCTTATTATTACAACTATTCTTTGATTGTAACAACGAAGGGACTGGATCGTGAACTTCCTCAAGTTTTGACTATACAAATAATTATCGATCTCTCAAAGAACAGATTTGAAGGTCATATACCAAACATTATTGGAGATCTAGTTGGATTTCGTACGTTGAACTTTTCTCATAATGTATTAGAAGGTCATATACCAGCACCACTGCACAGATTGTCTGTACTTGAATCATTGGATCTCTCATCCAACAAATTAGATGGTGAAATTCCACAATAACTTGTGTCTCTCACGTCACTTGAAGTCTTAAATCTCTCTCACAATCATCTTGTTGGATGCATCCCCAAAGGAAAACAATTTGATACGTTTGAGAATAATTCATACCTAGGAAATGATTGACTACGTGGATTGCCACCCTCAAGAGATTGTGGTGGTGATGATAGGGTAGCACAAGCGACAATTCCAGTTGAGCTCTATCAGGAAGAAGAAGAAGAAGAAGACGATGATTCACCAATGATCAATTGGGAGGCGGTTCTCATGGGTTATGGTTGTGGACTTGTTATTGGACTGTCTATCATATACATAATGTTGTCAACTCAATATCCAGCATGGTTGTCGAGAATGGTTGTAAACTTGGAACACAATTTCTACGAGAACAAAAAAACACAACAAAAGATATTATTAGTGTGTAGCGACCTCCAGGTATTCAAATTCATATTTATCCTTAAGAAGATTATTCTCTCTCTCTATATATATATATATCGATGTATTTTCGACCTCCTCCATCTTTAAAGCTCTTAACTTTAATTCTTTATTTTTGAAATTTCAAGATTCAAGTCTAGTGAGTTGCTGGAATGCAAAAGCATGAGTTTTGTTTATCAATAGTTTGTGTATGTAGTAAGATATTCAGCCTAATTATTAGTTAGCTAATTTAATTAGGCTGCAAAGTTCAGTAAATTATAAATTATGCAAGTTATCTCATTTTAATTTTTGGAGAAAAGAAAAGATATAATTAATTAAGACTTTTGTTGCATAAATGATTAAGATCTTTGGTTTTTATAGTAACATCTTTCTTGAAATTAATGTAATGGTTTCATGGTTAACCACTAAGATCACAGCAAAGTCCAAATAAATATTAGTTTAGTGTAATTATTTAGTGGTGACATCTTTTTTTGGTGGTTGAAAAAATAATTTGCAAGTGGGCTAATTAGAAAGAATGTACAAGTCCATATTATCTTCTTCCAAGTCTTTTTTTTTTTAATTTGCGGATTGAGTGTTTATATCAAATTAGTAAATGTATAATATAATGTGTATGGTTAGTTAATTAATTAATATATTCACTCTATTAAATTATCTAACTACGATAAATTATATCAACTTGATGTAAATATCCCATACAGATAACTATTTACCCAAACAAAGTTGGAGTTGTATTATGCAATTGTAACTTTCCTATGAAGTCTAAATAACATTTTTTTATATCTAAAACTTGATTTCATCTCAAGCAAGATTGGAATAGTCTAAATAACATGATTGGAATAGTCGCGATACACATAAATTGGTCCAAATACAACTCTTTTAATTGTAGAGAGAGATTTAAATTATAATGTTAAGAAAATGTATCTTAATATATTTATTTCTTAAGAGGAACATATGATATATGTTTTCTACTAATCTTTGGATTGTTAGGCCTTGTAGTTGAGTTGTATATCATGATATTATATAAAGATTGTATATTTCATAGTCATATATTAGCATTTCTGAAAATTATGCTAACTTTTTCACATTTTTACTCCATTTTAAAATTTATTTATAATTTTAGTAGATTTTACCATTTTATTTAAATTGGATAGGTTACAAATTATTCCAGGGAAGAAATTATCTAGGGACAATACCACCTCATTTTATTTAACAATTTGAATACAAAATTATTACACAAAGAAGAGAAGATAAATAACAAACTATTAGTCTTGATACAATGAGGAATACTTAATTAATTCTCGAAGTAATACATCATATAAACTATTTGAACAAAACAATATCGAACACACGATAAATAAAGTCGATCATTTCGACTAACATACATTAAATTTTGGAAGGGAAATGAAATCAAAATAGACCGTAAAAATCATGAAAACAGTAGAGTTATTGAATGTTTAGTGGTACGTTGGCGAGGATGGGGGTGAGGCATAGATGGGAGTTTGCTAATAATAGATTGGTGATGGTGGAGGTGGTGAGTTGTATTTTGTAGGCGATTGCTCATAGTACTTCGGTGGAGGGGGAGGTGATTTATAGGAAGGTGTAGATTCTTTGTAGTATGGGGGAGGTGGAGGTGATTTATAGGAAGGGATAGATTCTTTATAGTATGGTGGAGGTGGTGGGGATTTGTAGGAAGGCGTAGATTCTTTGTAGTATGGGGGAGGTGGAGGAGATTTATATGAAGGGGTAGATTCCTTGTAGTATTGGGGGAGGTGGAGGTGATTTATAGGAAGGGGTAGATTCTTTGTAGTATGGGGGAGGTGGTGGGGACTTGTAGGAAGGCGTAGATTCTTTGTAGTATGGTGGAGGTGGAGGGGACTTGTAGTAAGGCGTAGATTCTTTGTAGTATGGGGGAGGTGGAGGTGATTTATAGGAAGGTGTAGATTCTTTGTAGTATGGGGAGGTGGTGGGGACTTGTAGGAAGGCGTAGATTCTTTGTAGTATGGTGGAGGTGGAGGGGACTTGTAGTAAGGGGTAGATTCTTTGTAGTATGGTGGAGGTGGTGGGGATTTGTAGGAAGGAGTTGATTCTTTGTAGTATGGGGGAAGGTGGAGGGGACTTGTAGTAAGGGGTAGATTCTTTGTAGTATGGTGGAGGTGGAGGGGACTTGTAGTAAGGCATAGATTCTTTGTAATATGGTGGAGGTAGAGGGGACTTGTAGTAAGAAGGTGATTTCTCATAATAAGTTGGTGGTGGTGGTGGAGACTTGTAATAAACTGGTGACTTGTAATATGTTGGTGGCGGCGGAGGCGATTTATAGTATTTAGAGGGAGCGGGTGATTTGTAATATTGTGATGGAGATGGTGACTTGTAGTAATAGTGTTTTGATGGAGCAGGCGACTTGTAGTATTTTACAGGTGATGGAGATTTGTAATACTTCACAGGGGATGGTGACTTGTAGTAATAGTTCTTTGATGGAGCAGGTGACTTGTAGTATTTTGCGGGTGATGGAGATTTGTAGTACTTTACAGGGGATGGTGACTTGTAGTAATAGTTCTTTGATGGAGCAGGTGACTTGTAGTATTTTGCAGGTGACGGAGATTTATAGTACTTTACAGGGGATGGTGACTTGTAGTAATAGTTCTTTGATGGAGCAGGTGACGGAGATTTATAGTACTTTGTAGGGGATGGTGACTTGTAGTAATAATGCTTTGATGGAGCAGGCGACTTGTAGTATTTTGCAGGCGACGGAGATTTGTAGTACTTTGCAGGGGATGGTGACTTGTAGTAATAATGCTTTGATGGAGCAGGTGACTTGTAGTATTTTGCAGGTGACGGAGATTTATAGTACTTTGCAGGGGATGGTGACTTGTAATAATAATGCTTTGATGGAGCAGGCGACTTGTAGTATTTTGCAGGCGACGGAGATTTGTAGTACTTTGAAGGGGATGGTGACTTGTAGTAATAATGCTTTGATGGAGTAGGTGACTTGTAGTATTTTGCAGGCGATGGAGATTTGTAGTACTTTGCAGGGGATAGTGACTTGTAGTACTTCTTTGAAGGGGTGTGCGACTTGTAGTAGTACTTTGAAGGGGAAGGCGACTTGTAGTATTTCTTTGAAGGAGCTGGTGATTTGTAATACTTCACTACTACCGGTGATTTGTAGTAATGCTTTGAAGGAGTAGGGGACTTGTAATAGTGTGACGGAGAATGTTCAGCATGTTTCTCCGATTTCTTGTAGTATGGAGATGGAGATGGTGATTTGTAGTACTTCTTAGTGGTGTAAGTAGGTGAAGGAGAAGTATAGCCATAAGAGTAATCAGCAACAACAGTGCTAGCTACAAAGCAAATTGCCAAAGCAAATGCTAATAGAGGCAATTGCCCCAAATTCCCTAAGCTTCTTCTCATTTTGATTGTAAAGAAAAGGATAAAACTAAAACTTGTGTTGCATAGTTGAGTTGAGATCTCTAGTTTTTATAGTAGCAAAGTGACATGCTTCATGGTTAGCCACTATTATCATATCAAAAACTTGGTCAATACTTAGTGGGAAGCATTTTCCACAACTTTTTTTCTTAGAACTTATTCTAATAATTGACAAATCATTAGAAACATAAAAAAAAATGAGATTGTGAAAGTAAAAGAATTAGTATAAAAAATTGCAAGTAAAAAGATTAGAGTCAAATGTCACATATTTTTAGTCACGAATGCTAAATACAAAGAGATTTCACAACACCTTCTATCGAAAACATCTTGATATGTCTTAACTTTAATTGAATCTTCGTTAATCAAACTCTATATTTTCGTCTTCAAATCTGTTTTTCTGGTTACTTAAGTCAGATTGATAACAATATTGTCCTCTTCACGTTCATGGGGTATGGCATTTATTTATTAGTTAAAACGTGTAAGAGGTAACAATTTACAAATAACTACATAAGAAGATTAATCTTTTACTAATGAATATCATAATGTTATGAGTTGGTTAATTTATTAACTTAATGGAAACCACAATGTTGAAGTAGCACAATAATTGCAATTTATTTTATTAAGAATAATGTTCTGACAGACATGAAAAGAGTTGTCTTTGAAGAGAAGAATTCAATAAGCATTTGTATTATTCCAATGACTCTTTATTTCTTTTATATATATATATACTAGTTTCCGAGCACGTGCTTTGCGCGTGTAACCCATGAATATATTATTTCTTAAAAGATAATATTACTAAATAATAAAATATGTCTAATTGAGATTTCTTACTTTGTTTAACTACTAATTGTGACACTCCAATTTTCTGACCTCTTAGTAAATGCATCGAAATAATAATATGAAAAATTAATAAAATAAACTTCGTTTATAATTCAAAAATAAGTTTACAAAGCAAAAATGAAAAATAACAACTATCTAAATTAAATTTCTCGATAGTTCCGTTTTATTGGTAGAATAATGTTAGAAGAAATAGTGTAAGATTAACTTTGAGTGAAAGGAAAACAAAACCTTTCGACTTTTTTACTTTGCCTTTTGAATCTCCTGATAATTATAATGAATGTGTTTAAAGTATTATATTAAATTTTTATCCACAAACACTTTAAACTAATTAGTTAACTATAAATATTTAAAACTATAATGTAAAAAGTCTTATTATCTATATTTTGAAAATCAGAATATTTATGAATAACTACTATTTTTATATAAAATTTAATTTTCTCTTCATACATAACTTATCCACCATTAATCTAATATTATATGTTTCACCTTTTTTTTTTCCATAAAAAGAAAAGAAAAGAGTAAACATCTTATTTTATCACATTCATTTTTAAAGATGAAAATTAATGTATATGTAAAATTATAAGTACGAAGCAAAAAAAAAAGATACAGATGAGCAAGATAATTAGGCATTTTATTTTATTTTTGTCTCCATAGTGAAACTGAACATTTGAGCATACAAAATACAAATATGAATTTAGAGCAACTTGCTAATAAAACAAGAATTCAACTATATGAAGAGAGACAAAAAAGTCTTATTATAATTCTTACTACAAATAAGTATAGAACTAACGCATCAAGCTCCGATGCTTCAGTAATTGAATTCTTGTCTATTTTCGTGACTGCAGAAGAAAATCTCACAATTTTCACCTCAAATTGTGACATTATTTCACATGTTTAGAGTTCCTACACACAAGAATTGTAGGAGTGGTAAATAAAAGTTTTTCTTGAAAAAATTAAATTTATTGAACAAAATTTTGGATACATGAAAAGTTACATTAATTATTGTTAAAATAAATATAAAAAAGATAGAGATGAAATTTAATTTTAAAGATACATGAATCTACTTTAATTTCTTGTCTATAAGGAATAATTACTCATTTTTATTTTATTTACATTTGTGTTAGAAATTTGAAAGGTCAAGATTAGGGAATGAGAATAAGAAGATTATATATATGAAAATTATAAAAATTTATTAGAGGGGCAAAATAGTAATTCAACTTTTAAGTTTTGAGCTTCATGCTTATAATAATACTAGTTTCCGGGCACGCGCTTTGCGCATGTAACCCATGAGTGTATTATTTTTTAAAAGATAATACTACTTAATAATAAAATATGTCTAATTGAGATTTCTTACTTTGTTTTACTACTAATTGTGACACTCCAATTTTCTGCCCTCCAAGTGAATGCATCGAGATAACAATATGAAAATTAATAAAATAAACTTTGTTTGTAATTCAAAAAATAAGTTTGCAAAGCTAAAAGAAAAAATAACAACTATCTAAATTAAATTTCTTGATAGTTCCGTTTTATTGGTAGAATAATGCTAGATAGTGTAAGATTAACTTTGAGTGAAGGAAAACAAAACCTTTCAACTTTTTTAATGAATGTCTTTTAAGTATTGTATTAAATTTTTATCCACAAACACTTTAAACTAATTAGTTAACTATAAATATTTAAAACTAAGATGTAAAAAGTTTTTATCATTTTTATTTTAAAAATCAGGATATTTATGAATAACTACTTATTTTTATATAAAATTTAATTCTGTCATACATAACTTATCCACCATTAATCTAATCTTATATGTCTCACCTTTTTTTTCATAAAAAGAAAAGAAAAGAGTAAACATCCTATTTTATCACATTCATTCTTAAATATGAAAATTAATGTATATGTAAAAATTATAAGTACGGAGAAAAGAAAAAAAAGGTACACATGAGCAAGATAATTAAGCATTTCATTTTGTTTGTCTCTATAGTGAAACTGAACATTTGAGCATACCAAATACAAATATGAATTTAGAGAAACTTGCTAATAAAACAAGAATTCAACTATATGAAGAGAGACAAAAAAGTCTTATTATAATTCTTACTACAAATAAGTATAAAACTAACACATCAAGCTCCGATGCTTCAGTAATTGAATTCTTATCTATTCTCGTAACTGCATAAGGGAATCTCACAACTTTCACCTCAAATTGTGACATT